AAAAGGCCAAAAAAAAAAAAAAAAAAAATCAATCTGTGGCGATTATTTGTCTTAAAAGCAAGGCACATATTGAATAACCCTACGATAAGAAACACTTGTTGCTGAAGGTCATATTCATATACTTAACCTATTTAAATACAAGGTAATAGGCTGAATGAGAAATAGAGCTTACCTTTCTAAATTAATTTGAACATAACTAATTGGGAATCTGAAAAGTAACAATATCCCATTTCTGTGAAAAGCACCTGTTAAATCACAATTTAATTGAATGTACATCCAAAATACAATAAATTTATCATTAAGAGCAGTATAATCAATAAACTATAGAAATTTTACCTTATAAAAGTTTCCATATGACTTTCGAATATTGATCCATTTTTTAGCAAAAGGAGGATATCTGAGCCTGCTGAGCTGGCACTGAATGTTCAGGAACTTACTCATATCCCATGAACTTGTAAATCAAACACAGGAAAAAAGCAGATAAATAAATGTTATTGATATTTTTACAAATGCTTCTTTTAACTCATTTTATTTGCTTTTAATTTTCATGTTAGCTTTCATTCTTATTATCACACATGACACCAGGCTTATAAAATTAATCTCTCATTCTCCAAAGGACCAGTTCAAAAATAAACTTTTAAAAATCAAAGAAAACTAAAAGTTGGGTATACTAAATTTTTCTCAAACTGATTAATTCATATTAAACTCATCGTGATTATTTTTACTGTTTTGATTACCTGTGTAGATTTTTATCTTGTACTTTTCATAATTCTAAAATTATGAGTCAGAATCAACTCAAAATTACCATGCTTACTTCCAATGCCAGGCTTATCATAGTATTTCTCTGAGGACATGCTTTGAAATGGAACAAACTACAGCAAAAACCTTGAAAGAGACAAAAGTAGCTGGTGTCGAGTGGTTAACACAGGCTGTTCTACAGCACATGCTTCTACAACACCAAATGACTTAGGTGAGCAAGAAGGATAATACTGACTGTGTTGCGGTTGTTGTTAGGTGCCATCCACGTGGATCCAACTGATAGTGACCCTATGTACAACAGAATGAAACAATGCCTGGTCCTGCGCCAGCCTCACAATCCTTGCTATCCCTGAGGACATCACTGCAGTCACTGTGTCAATCCATCTTGTCAAGGGTCTTCCCCTTTTGGGCTGACCCTCCACCCTACCAAGCTTGGTATCCTTCTTCTCCAGGGAATGGTCCATTCTGACATGAACCAAGTAGGTGAAAAAAGGTCTGGCCATTCTCACTTCCAAGGAGCATTCCAGTTGCACTTCTTCCAGAACAGATTTGCTAGTCCATGGTACTTTCAGTATTCATTGCAAACACAACTCAAAAGCTTCAACTCTTCTGTGATCTTCCTTATTCCCTGTCCAGCTTTCACAAGCATGAGGCGATTAAAAACACGATGGCTTAGGATAGACACATGTTAGTCTTCAAAGAGACATATCGGATCTTCAGCACTTGAAGGAGGTCTTTTGCAAAAGATTTGCCCAATACAATATAACATCTGATTTCCTGACTGCTGCTTCCATGGGTGTTGATTATGGAATGAATATGAAATCTTTGACAACTTCAATCTTTTCTCCATTTATCATGATACTGCTTATTGGTCCAATTGTGAGGATTTTTGTTTCCTTTACATTGTTGTTGTTGTTGTTAGGTGCCGTCAAGTCATTTCTGACTCACAGCGACCCCATGCACAGCAGAACGAAACACTGCCCGATCCC